AGATATTTTTGTTATAAAAAGATAAAAGGTACAAAAACCACCCCCTCAAACCCAAGATCCTGTCCCAAGCGTGGGAATCTGCTCATGCCCTGCGCCCGGGCCAGCTGTGCGCAGCCCCCCCCCCCCTTTGCCTGTGGAGGTGCTCCTAAATCATGATGGGGGGGGGCATGGGGCTGGGCAGGGTCTCAGCCTCATCGCTGCCTACTGCAAGAGGACCACCGCTCCTGCCCCCCGCCCCGGGAAGCAGAAGCTGGTGGGGGGTCTCAGGGCAGGGCAGCAGCCCTGGCACTCATAGCTCTGCCCTGCGCCCTCCAGGCAGGCCTTGCTTGCAGCAGGAGGAAGTGGAGCCCTCCTGCACCTGCCAGCCCCGCACCCTGTGCCATAGTCACCCCTGGCTGCGCAGGGAGCCCCGGATGTCTGCTTGGTGTAGTTGACAGCACACACAGCCATGCCTTTGTGGAGGAGCACCCGGCACAAGGTGCAGGGTGAGGACAGGTGTATGCAGGGCAGGGACCTTGAGCCAGACCTCAGGAGCTGGAAGCAGGACAAGGGTATAGGGGAGGAGGAGGGGGGGTAGTTGGGAGGCTTGGGGAGGCTCTCCCCACAGGAAGGTGGACCACTACAGCAACCAGAACTGTTTCCCATGACCTGAACGGGACACTGTCACTGACACAGCTCAGACATCACCCACATCCCACTCTTGGCAGGGGTGGGGTTCATGGATTCTCGAGAGACCCCCAGGTCATGCCCCTACTATAGAGGAAGGCAAAATGCCCCCCAGTCCGACCAGGGGAAAATCCTTTCCTGCTCCAGTATAGTGCCAGTCTGAGCATAAGCACAGGGGCAAGACCCTCCAGCCAGGCCCCTGCAGGGTTGGTCTCAGCAGGAGCATTGGCACAGCCCTGTCCCATTCCCAGCCTGGGCTGCAGCAGCACCCAGGGCCTCTGACGGAGGTGTAAACCCCCACACAGGGAGCAGAAAGGGCAGAGGGTGGGAGAGCAGGGGGGTGTGCAGGACACAAGCAGCTAAGCCCAGAAGCTGGGCAGTAGGCCCAGAGCTGAGACCTGCCATGGCAAGTGCTGAAGCCCAGAGCAGGCTGACAGCAGGACTGCCAGGGCTGGATGCTGCAGGGCTCAGGGGTCCAGCCCATATGGAAGCAGCTCCTAGCCCTGCCCTTCTGCCTGAGCCACAGTCAGGGCAGGATGGGTCCCCAGGCTCCTGCTGTGCACGCGCCAACCACATCCCACCCCAGCAGCAGCTGCAGCACAGCTGGGTAGTGCCCTGCTCACAGTACTACTCTTGGGGCCACAGGGATCCCTGGCCCAACTTCCCCGCCACCCCATGCCCATCAGCCCACAGCCCAACAGGGCAGTGATACCCAGCCCAGGGTCCACTTCAGCTCAACCCCCTGCTGCCCTCGTGGCCATGGCACTGCCAGCCTGGGACTGCACTGGCCTTCTCCCCAGCTGCGTGGGGCTGGGTGGGGGCCAGAGCCCAGAGGAGAGGTGCTGCCTCATTAGGGGTTCTTCACTGCAGGCACCCCCACTTTGCTCTCACAGGCACCAGGCGCACACACCACCGGTGGCATCCGGCTTGCGGTTGGTCTCTCTTTATTGGTATCAAAGCCTACAGCTGATGCAGTCACGCTCTCTAGCCCCCACCCCTGCACCTGGCTCTACTTCTGTAACCCCCTCCCTCAGCCCCATGCAAACCTGGGAGCAGCCTCCCTCATGGGGTACTGGGGGGAGGCAACACCCCCCACCCCCAACTGCATCCAGCCTGCAAACACCAGGCAAGCAGCAACCCCCACTTCAGCTGGGGCTCAGCCCTTGCCACCCCCCCCCCACCCCCCTTTGCTTCTCATTCAGTCATTTGTCCCTCGCTGACCACCCACCCCCTGCCAGCCCTGGCCCCGGGCTGCCCTGCCTCTTCTAGTCCCCGTGGCTATGCTGGGGGTTGCCCCTGCTGCCATTCTGCTGGGTGATGGGGCAGGGAGGCAGCCCTTTGGCCTCTGGCTGGGGCAAGTGCAGGGAGCCCTGCCCACCTGAGCACGTCTGGGGCTGGGGAGAGGGGACCGTAGCCCCCATCAGTGTGGAGAGGAGCACTCTGGCATGCTGGGGGCAACAGAGCAAGCCTGGGGATAACCCTGCCATGTCCAGGCACCGGGACAGTCAGTTCAAGGTGTCCCTCAAGGAGAGGCAACACCATTGCCCCACTGCAGGCTTGGGGTCAGGTCGAGCTCGCAGGCAGTGCTCTGGCTGCGCAGTGGAGGCAGGGTCGCACCAGTCCCTGGCGCTCACATTCCCTAGCTGCTCCCAGGCAAGGGGCCCCAAGTGCCACCTCCAGGCCCAGATCCCAAGGCGGAGTGTAGCGGAAACAGCTGAAGTCCAGGCCCCCAGCGCCCAGGGGAGGGGGGTGGCTCTGGGACAAGCGCTGCAGGGCCTCAGGATCCCAGCTGTGTGGTCGTCCCACTCCGTAGGCCTGTGGGGAGGCAGAGGCTGGTGGTGAGCGTGCACCTGGCTACCCCATCCCACCCAGCCCCCTTCTCCCGCCAGAGCTGGGAGAAGCATCTCTCTGCAGTGAACACCAAGAAGTGCAGTTCCTGCTTGGGAGAGGGATCAAACCACTGCTTACAGTGGAGCTCAGGGAAGGCTTCCACTGGCCTGCGCTGCACCTCTGCCCAGGCTCTGCCTGCTCCCTCCTTCCCCACCAACACAGAGGCAGCCATTGGGAATGGGATGATGCCGCACCCCTACAACCCAACCCCTCTGGGGCAGGGCCCTGTCAGGCCAGGCAGCGCGGGGCTGGGGGCAGCTGCACTCACACAGCAGGAAGCGACGCAGGTTCTGAGCGGAGCCTCCTGACAGCAGGTAGGCC